CTGGGATGTTTCCAAATTCAGAAATGCCTGAAAAACTCATATAATTGAGAACTTTCGCCTCAGTTTTGTTAACCGTTAACTTCTTTCTTGCAGAATAAAGGTTGATTTTTATAACTTTCGTTACTGACACTATAAAACAAGGACACATCCGCTGCTTATCGGAATGCTGCATTCACCTGGCCTTTGCTTGTGCTGGAGGTTATTACTAAACCCAGCTGGTACTCTGCTCCCCAAATCACCGATCTCTCTGGGTCAGAAGCAGTGTTCCCTCTAAGCTGGGTTAGTGTGAGTGAGCTAGCTCACAGTTTTTTAGCCTCCGACTCACACATTTTTGTCTTAGCTCGGGAAGGATGGCTCCAGAGCAAACTAATTTATTCAGCAGCCAAATCGCCTGCTCACAACTTTAAGGCCAGTAGCTCACAAAGTAGAATTTTTGCTCACAAGACTCTACAGCTTAGAAGGAGCATTGTCCAGAAGTGACCTCGTTCCTCAGGTCCTTTCACTGGCTTCCTGTCCCCTGTTGTATAGAGTGCAAAATTTATTTTTACTTCTTTATATGTATTTATTGCATTTATATCCCGCCCTAACCCATGATGGGCTCAGGGCGTCTCACAACAGAGATAAAACAATAAATATACGCAGGGGTCATTTCCTGCAGGAGTGCACAGGAGCAGAGCTCCGGCAGTAAAGAGCCCAGGGGGACGGGCACATGCAACGAGCCCCCCCTGCTCCCAGCAGCCCTCAGTTAGAGCAAGAAGCAGCCAGGTAAGTTGCAGAGCCCCCCAGGCCCAAAACAGTCCATTGGCGCCTTTAAGACCAAGTTTTATTCAGGTACAAGCTCTCCCTCCTCTGTGAGGACAGATCTGCACATTCCCCCCCCCCCCCATAGCTAGCAATCCAAAACAGTCCAGTGGAGCCTGAGCGGTGGGTGTTGCCTTCTGACACACTTCCGGTGATGTCAGTATATTCTTCAATTTGGACTTTGATAATTGATATTTGCTTCTATGCTGGAACAAGACACATGGAAAGACTATAGATGGTGCTTCTTCTTATATGTTTCATTACTGCACCTTGGCCAAATGATTTACATTATACCTGGTTGAGGCTAAGCAGACGTCCTTTGGGCCAGGGACTACCAGTAGGTGTTGCTGAGCGGAGCGCAAGGCTCTCTGGTGCATATATTGGGAGAGACGGTCCCAAAGGTATGCTGGTCCCAGGCCATATAGGGCTTTAAAGGTCAACACCCAGTGCAGTTGGCATAGCGCTGGCTGATTGTGTGCCCGCACAGACAATGCCGTCAGGAAATTCTTTCCAGAGCCCTTCAAAAGCCTTGTCTCATCTCACTGCTCTACCCTTATTTCCCCCATCACGTTCTTGGGACTCCCACCCTCACTATTTTCAGCCGTTTGAAAACATCCTGCTGTCTTCTGTAGCTCTGCCCATTCTCCCTCTTATGCTTGGACTTATCTCACCAAACATCTAGGTTCAAGTTATTAACTGGAGAGGGCTCCTCAAACTGGATGAGCCCAGGGGCATTTGTTGAGTTTGGAGAAAGGGTTGCGGCCACTGCCACAAAATGGCTGCCACTGGAGGCAGGACCAGTCACAAAATGGCTGCCGTAGAGGGAAATTACAAACCACTGAGAAGCTCAAACATCCTCCTGTGATGGAGGCTATTTCTTCTAGATGCAAGCAACCTACAGACCCAAAGGCAGGGTTTCGGGTTTCCAGCCGGGGGGGGGGGAGGGGGAAGACAGAGTTTCCAGCAATTCCTAGAGTGGCATGATATCACTTTCAGATTTTTCCTAGAAGTGACATAACATTGTTATGCCAACAGCATTTTTTTTTCTCCTGCTGCCAGCCAGAACACTGGCATGAAACCGAACCAAACGTTGGTGCTTACCTGAAGGTTTCTTCTCTTTAGTGGGGTGAAGTCATCCAAACTGGTTAAACGGTCACGCCTCCTCTCGCTCCAGGCAGGGCTATGCAGATTTGTGTCGCCTGTATTGGCTCAGAGCAAGGCTGACCCTCCAGTCTTAGTGTAGCCGAGCTCCATAACAGAGTTGGCATAGAACTAGGTTTTATTCTATTTTATTTTGGGTGGGATGTGGATGACTTCACCCCACTGAACAGAAGAAACCTTCAGGTAAGCTCCCATGTTTCGTTCTCCTTCAGTGGGGGAAGTCATCAGAACTGGTTATATGCCCAAGCTACAACCTGGGTGGGATCCTCATTCTCATTTTTATTCCGTTCTACCACCATGCTGCGCACCTTTCTACCAGACAAAGCTTCCGTAGATTTTAACTGGTCCCGCCTATAGTGTCTCATACAGGTATAAAAGGTGGACCAGGAGGCGATTTTACCGATTTCTTCCACCGGAATGCCAGTGGAAAAGGTCGCTATGTTGCTGCAGATCTGGTGGAGTGGGCCGTAACATCCTCTGGAGATCCTAGGTCAGTGATGGCGAACCTTTTAGAGACCGAGTGCCCAAACTGCGACCCAAAACCCACTTATTTATTGCAAAGTGTCAACATGGCAATTTAACCTGAATACTGAGGTTTTACTTTAGAAAAAACTACTTATACATTAACTTAAGATGATCCAAACAAAGTAAGGAAAGCAATCCCAAATGCTTTCATTTACTTAAAATTATTTGGCGGAGAATTCGACACTTTAATGATGGTCTGGGCCTAGCTGGGGCGATGGCACGCGTGCCCACAGAGAGGGTGCCATAGGTTTAGAGGAAACACTGCTTGCAAGCCATGGGTCTAACTTCATGCATTCTTAGTTTTTACCCATTCTCTGCATTTTTAATCAAAGCCAATGGCCAAAACTTCATAAAATCCGTCTTTGGTATCCTACTGATCATATGAGAGATGCGCAGCAAGGGAAGGGAGCGTTTGTACGTCGCCAAATTCTGCCACGTCTGTTTAGGTCTTGGTTATCGCTGGGAACTCCAGTTGTTCAAAGTGGGAGCCAGAGAAGATTCTCTGAAAAATCCTGACAAAGCATATAGCAAAACGTGTCAAGATCTGGAAGATCTAATAAAACGGTTCAACCTTGTGTCTCTTTTTTCCTACCTACCGGTGTGGTTTTATCTTCTTCCTGGTGATGTGTGATTGATTCAGGACAGACTAAAAACATCTGTCACACCTTCTACAATTAAAGAAGAGGAGAAGAGATTGGATTTACACTCTGCCCTTCACTTGAAATCTCAGCATGGCTTGTAATTTCCTTTCCCTTCCTCTCCTCGCAACAGACACCCTGTGAGGTAGGTGGGGCTGAGAGAGCTCCGAGAGAACTGCTCGTGAGAACAGCTCTGAGAGAACTTGTGACTGACCCAAGGTTCGTCCAGCAGCTGCATGTGGAGGAGCGGGTAATCAAACCTGGTTCTCCCAGATTAGAGTCCGCGCTCCTAACCACTACACCAAACTGGCTGTAACACACTACCAGAGGATGTAATAACATCTATTATTTCACTTAGTTTGCTACACAAGGGGATTAGATCAATTCCTAAAGGAGGAGATGTCTTCTCCCCAGGGGTCATTTAATTGAAAAAGAGGTTCAGGAGCTCATTAGCATAACTCATTTGCATATACCACACCCCCTGACATCACCAGAAGTGTGTCAGAAGGCAACACCCACCGCTCAGGCTCCGCTGGACTGTTTTGGATTGCTAACTATGGTGGTGGTGGTGGGGGGGGGGGAAACGTGCAGATCTGTCCTCGCAGAGGAGGGAGAGCTTGTATTTAAATAAAACTTAGTCTTAGAGGTGCCACTGGACTGTTTCAGAGTGCTAGCTATGGGGGTGGGGGACGCGCAGATCTGCCCTCACAGAGGAGGGAGAGTTTGTACCTGAAGGTGGGCGGGGGGGGGGGGGCAACTTACCTGGCTGCTTCTTGCTCCTCGTGGCCCGACTGAGGGCTGCTGGAAGCAGAGGGTGGGGCTTATTGCATGTGCCCGCCCCCTGGGCTCCATACTGCCGGAGCTCCGCTCCTGTGCGCTCCCGCAGGAAATGACCCCTGCTTCTCCCATATGTTCCTGCCCTGGAATCTGCCCATTGGGAGAGGCCTTCCAGACTCTCCCACCAATCAAAGAAGCTTGTCTGGTGGGCAAACGAGAGAGAGCCTTTTCCACAGCAGCCCCACAATGAATGAACAGCCTCCCCAAAGAGGCATGCCTGGCCCCGTCGCTTCTGAACTTCAGGAGGCCGTTGAAAACAGTTTTATCAGTTGCATTTATCGGCAGTCCAAATTGGAGATTTTAAATTGTGGTCTTTGATTTATTTATTGGAGAGCCAGTTTGGTGTCGTGGTTAAGTGTGTGGACTCTAATCTGGGAGAACCGGGTTTGATTCCCCACTCCTCCACTTGCACCTGCTGATGTGACCTTGGGTCAGTCACAAGCTCTGGCACAGCTGTCCTTGAAAAAGAGCAGTTTGTGTCAGAGCTCTCTCAGCCCCACCCACCTCACAGGGTGTCTGTTGTGGGGAGGGGAAGGGAGAGGAGTTTGTCAGCCGCTCTGAGACGCCAAGGGCGGGGTATAAATCCAATCTCTTCTTATTATTATTATTTATATGGTAAGCCGCCTCAAGTTCCGCAAGTCAGAGACGTGGCTAATAAATGTTTTACACATTTTAAATAAACGCACAGCCTTCATAGCTCAATGGAGGCATTTGAATATTCTCAATGGACTATTCAAAGGCATTTGAATATCTCAATGGAACCTTTGAATATTTGTTACCAGGGATACACCCTGCAGAGGAGAGCTGTTTTCTTCGTGCTTTGTTTATGGGCTTCTCAGAGGTGTCTGGCTGCTGGGGGAGGTGGGATATCGGCTTGGATGGACCTGTGGCCTGGTTCTGCAGGGCTTTTCGGATGTTCTTAAGAATGTGCTGTGCAGGAGTGGTGCTGTGCCACATTTAACGGCAGAAGCTTGTCCACAACTCTTCCCCGAGATCCAGTGAACCGCTAAGGGCAGGGTTAGAAAAATTCAGCCCGTATTCAGCATTGAGTCTCTTTAATCAGCTACACACCAAACAAACCAGAAAGTCTCCTGGGGCCAAAAATGTTTCCATGCAGGGTCACACCTGCAGCCACTTATCCTGCCTTGAGCCATCCTAATTCATTCACAGGTACGGTTCGTCTTTGGACAGCTCCAGTTTCCGAGGCACGGAGCCGGGTGTCACCGGTCCTTTCTCGGCGACTGCCAGGGCGGATTCCAGCCTGGGCAAAGTGAGAGGAAGATTTGGAAATGAAAAATTCTGCAACAATGTACGATGCGATATCTCCCTGTCCCCCCAACCCCCCCCCCCAAGACTGTTGAAACAGCATGAGGCTGCCACCCACCCCAATGCAAGTTTTAAGGGACACAACCAGTGTTCCCTCTACGCCGAGTTAGTGTGAGCTAGCTCACCATTCTTTAGCCTCCGGCTCACACATTTTTGTCTTAGCTCAGGAAGGAGGGCTTCGGAGCAAACTAATTTATGCCGTAGCCAAATCACTTGCTCACAACTTTAATGCCGGTAGCTCAGAAAATAGAATTTTTGCTCACAGGACTCCACAGCTTAGAGGGAACATTGGACACAACAGAGCAAAATGAGAGCTCTGTGACCAAGTCAGACGTTTTGGATTTGTGTCCCACCCCCCCATCTACCTAGAAACAACTGTTGGCGGCCACAAACTGGATTGGAACTGTGGCACGGAGGAGATACTGCAAGGGGCAGAGGGTGTCAGTTAACACTGCCATTCTCTGGGATGTGTGTGGGGGGAGACCTTCTCCTTCTCGGCCTGGTACACTAATGATGTCTCCTGTCTGGGTTGTTATCTGCTTTGCTTTCCCGACCTTGGGGTTCCAGCTGCTCCTGACGTGCTGAGAACTAACGGCTCTTAATTCTGCCCGCTTTCTTTCTCCCGCACGTGCGCACAATGCTTATTGGCTTTTGCTTGTAGTGGGGGGTGGGTGGGTGTATGAATCTGGTATAACTTTGGGAGCCCTGCTGCTGTGGGTCATTCCTGACAAAAGAAGTTCACGTGTCACAGTTATGTACTACCAATAAACAGAATGCTTCTTCAGAAGCGCTGTGTGGTGTGATCTATTGACCCCTGACAGAGGGGAAGGTTCTAGCACCCTTACCCCTCTCCGGTTCTGATCCACTTTGTGCTCTCCCCCCAGCAGCTGTTTTCAAATTTGGGAGGGGGGGGCAGACATGCTATCTTTAAACCCCCTTGAAGGTGTGACAGCAGGTCAGAATTTGAAAGCTTGAGCTGCTGAAAGAACAGAGATGCTGAAAAGATTTTTTTTTTACTCCACTGACTGCTCTCGATAAAATTAAACCAGGGGGTGTAAGAAAACCGCTCAGGAAATGGATCAGACGCTGTCCCAGTGCAGTCAGCATAAGAGGGCCCGCTTCCTGACGTCTTTCAGATCAAACAAGGAGGGTCGTCTCTGTTTTATCTCCACAGTTACAGGAGCTGTGTGGTTGCGGGCAACAGGAAATTACCTGGCCGCCTGGTCTCCCGGGGCCAAAGTTTTCTGCGATGAAACAATGACAATTGGAGGGGAAGTCAGCCGGCGCCCGTCCCGAGTACAGTAATAATTGTCGGCGAACTTGTGGCTGGGGCCAACAGGAAGGGCTGGAGGAGGCTGAGTCCTGGAGGATGGGAAGTTTAAGAACATCACAACACAGAAACTAGAAGGGGGGGTCCACCAAACAGGGAGCATGCGTGTCAACATTCTGACAAGGCACTGTTATGGAGTTGTAAGTTACACAGGTTGTGCTGGCAGCAAGCATAGCGTAAACTCACTATGTACACTCTGAAACTGCCTTATACAAGGCGTACTAATCTATCTAGGTCAATATCGTCTACTTTGGCTGCAGCTCTCTTGGGTCTCAGGCAAAAAACACAGACTTTCCCAGTCCTGAGAAACACACTTTCCCAGTCCTGCACCTGACAAAGTCCGTACTTCACCACGGAGTCACAACCCTTCTCAAGTTGCAGGGTCATTCCCATTGGAAGGATGGCAAGATAGACCCCCCCTCCATATTTGACACCCCATTCATGCCTTTATTATTAAAACTACAGACAGGAAATAGAATGACAAATGATGGCAGCCCCACCAGAAAAAAAAAATTGCCCCACAAGCCTCAAAATCCTGGCTACGAGCCTGGGTGTCTTGATTTTACACCAGTCACAAAGGAGGTCATCTCTGTCCTTTTTAAAGAGAAAATACTTCTCACAAAGTATTGTTATGGTTAATTGCTGCTAAACATGGATTAACTGAGTACATTGGCTGTGGTAAAATATGGCACTGGCCAGTGGCATCTATGGTTTTTAAAAGATACCCCGAGGAATTCATAGGAGAAGAGGTCTGTCAATGGCTATTAGCCACATTAGGTAAATGGAACCTCCTAATTCAGAGGCAGCCGACCGCTGAATACCAGTTGCTGGCAGGACCAGTACGGGACAGCCCTGCTTAGCCACTATCAGCTTGGGTATTATTCAGGAGAGATCTTTTCTGTGCCACAAGCAAAGAAATAATTGTACTGTGGCCCTGTTCACACGTGGAATTTGCGGCGGGAGAGGCATAAATGTCAGGCGGAGTATACGGGCGCGATCACAAGGACACATTTGGCAAGCGTAGCACACCCATCGCTGACCCGTAGCATCCGCTTGAAGATCCGGAGTTAAAAAATACCTGGGAAAGCCTACTAGCAAACGCTTTGCTATGGGCCGTCGACAGGATACCTACATGTGATCACTCAAGCATGCTCCTCTTGCCGTGTTGACGCGCGCCGAAAACATGCACCGACAAACAAAACCCCACTTTGCCGCCACGGTGTCTGATTGCGTTTTGGCACGTTAAATTGCGCCGGCGCAAAAAGCCACGCCTCCCCCCTACGTTATCTGGCCCGTGTGACCGGGGCCTATGTCAGTCAGTTAGATCAGGCACCACAATGCTTTGTGTTACCTTACATCTTTGCAAATGCAGTGCTTGTGGTCACACAGCCAGTTCTGAATGACTGAAGGAAGTACCAGAGGATGTGAAGCAACCCAGAGGGAGTTCACCACCTCACCTGTTTATCTGCAAGCATGTGAAGTTAGCCTTTCTCCATAGTCAGGAACAAGATTTATATCCTCAGAACTGCCCGATGAAAGTTTTGGATATCATAATGGGTTAAGACCATTGATAAGCCTCTCATCCACTTAAATTATTCTGTTGGATCAGATTCAGGTTGGTACCTCATAGTATCCTCCCTCCCCTTGTGATGGGCAACAATTCTTTTGAGAAGCACACAAGGATGGTACAAAGGCAACTAGTATTCAGCAGTACAGTTTCCAAAAATGCAGCTTCCTCTTCCATTATTACGGTTAATGGCTGACAGTAGATCTTTCCTCCTCCACAAGTTTCTCTAAGCCTCTTTCAGATCCATTCAAGCCAATCCTCTCTTTCACAGCCAGCTTTTAAGAATTGAGCAGCTGATGCCAAGCCTCAGCTCAGGGAACTTACCGCTTAGAGATCTCTGTGTAGCGTAGCTGCAGTTTGGCTTGCAAGTTTCGCTGTTGAAAGGAAACAAAAAGACAGACAAGACAAGGAGGGACGCCTCACGCAAAGGCTGCCACCTTCAGGCAATGTAGTCCACATTTACAAAGCTGAAAACCCAAACCGATAAAAGGATACTTGTCAGTGAACCCACCGAGAACATAGATGGCATCTACAAGTGTTCACACGACTGCATTAGTATCTCCCAATTAACCCTGTAAAGCCTTTTGGGGATATGTTTGCAATATTTGCTCTGGTCTCCTGTTTGTATCCCACCACTGGGGAACACTCTGCTCTAAGAGAACCTACAAGACTGCCTCACTCCGTACTTTCAGCGAACGAATGGGGATAGTGCAGTTAATGGTGTTTTGCTGTCTGCCAGCTCTCCATCTTCCAAGAAGTGTTTCACATGGATTTGCTTTTAAAAACAAAAACCTTGCAGTACTTTCACCAGCATTCTTCTTAGCTTCAAAAGGACAAAAGAGGTATTTATTAAAAAAATCATGCCCCGCTATTTTTTAAAAACAAAAAGTAAACAGACCCGATATAAAAGACGCAGAGAAATTAACAACAAAACCAAACCGCACACCTTTAACAGAGAACCTCTCTGTCCCCAAGAAGCTTTCACGGAACTACAACTCCCAGAGGTCCTTGCAAAGCTGGGGGAAAGGCTAGGCTTATGAAATGTAGCCCCTCTCAGATGCTTGTGCATCGTTTATACTTTCAAGTAATTTCTCCCGCTGGACACAGAGGGATTCGAGGGGAGCCTGGCACAACCCGCCGGTCTCGATTCTTACCCCCGCTGCCCAGTTGCGAATCCGCTGGATGATACTAGTGGCACTCGCCATCTTGGCCTCTATATGTCAAGGGCATAGAAGACCGCGGGTTATGCATGCAAAGGATGCCGGGAAGAAGGCTATGGAAAAGGTAGGAACAGCGTGTCTGAAGGGTCGGGAGCGCTGGGAGGAGGGTCGAAAAACACAGATGCGTGCAAAGGATGCCGGGAAGAAGGCCATGGAAGAGGTAGAAAGAGCGTATCGGAAGCGTTGGGAGCGCTGGGAGGAAGGTCGAAAACATGGATCGTAGCATCCGGCGTCGTTCCAGGGGAGAAAGATGGCCCAGTTTCGCGCAGAGCATGATGGGAAGATGAAAGGACGGTCAGGAGGTTCGTCGTTGTGCGGCATGACGGGAGGAGGTGTGCGTGTCCCTCGGATCGCGCAGGGGATGCTGGGAAAGCGCGAAAGCCCTGTGACGGGTGGGGAGAAAATAAACTTTAAAGAATTTTTAAAATATATGATATTCATATAATATTTGATGTGATATTCAAATAATTTCATATAATATTTATT